GATAGAGTTGAAGGGCCAAAATAATGGTTTGAACCAGTAATAGTTGGAGACTTCAGTACTCCATGTTCAAAATGAATTAGAACAGGCCGGCGCGGTGGTCACGCCTGTAATCCTAGCCTTGGGAGGCCGAGGCGGGCGGATGCTCAAGGTCAGGGTTCGAAAACCAGCCTGAGCAAGACGAGACCCCGTCTCTACTATAAATAAGAAGAATTAATTGGCCAACTGATATAATATATAAAAAAAAATTAGCCGGGCATGGTGGGCATGCCTGTAGTCCCAGCTACCGGGAGCTGAGGCAGAAGGATCACTCGAGCCCAGGAGTCTGAGGTTGCTGCCTCAATAAATTTAAAAGGATTGAAACATTAAACATACTTTGTTCTCTGACCAAAAAGGAATGAAATTAGAAGTAAATAACAGAAGAAAATTTGGGAAATTCAAAAATATGTGGAAATTAAACAACATACTTTTAGATACCCAAAGAAGAAATCACAAGAGAAATTAGGAAATACTTTGAGATAAATGAAATGGAGAAACACCATCCCAAAACTTATTGGATTCAGGTAAAAAAGTGGCTAGAAGGAAATTTATGGCCAGACTATATTACACATAGAAGGCAATATTTAAAAAGAAGAAAAAAATAAAATCAATAATCTAACATTCTACCTTAAGACACTGGAAAAAGAGGAGCAAATTAGCAGAAGGAAAGAAACAATAAAGGTTAAAGTAGAAATTAATGAAATAGAGAATAGAATAACAGTGAAGCAAATCAACAAAACCAAAGGTGGTTCTTTGAAAAGATAAGCTAGACTGACAAAGAAAAAGAGAGGACTCAAATAACTAAAATTATGAATGAAAAAGGGTATGTTAATACTGACCTCACAGAAATAAAAAGCATTAATAGGCAATACCATGAACAAGTATATGCCAACAAATTAGATAACTAGATAAAATGGAAAATTTCTCACAAATACATAAATTGTGTATGACTCAAGAAGTATGTATGTATGCTTCTTGAGTCATGAAAATGACTCAAGAAGAAATAAGTAATCTGAATTAATCTTTAACAAATAGAGATTGAATTAGTAACAAATTATCACCTAGAAAAAGCTCAGGACCAAATGGCTTTACTAGTGAATTATTTTTATTTTTATTTATTTATTTATTTTTTGAGACAGAGTCTCATCTGTTGCCTGGGCTAGAATGCTGTGGCATCAGCTTAGCCTCATAGCAACCTCACATTCCTGGGCTCAAGCAATCCTCCTGCCTCAGCCTCCAGAGTAACTGGGACTACAGGCATGTGCCACCATGCCCGGCTGATTTTTTCTATATATTTTTAGTTGTCCAGCCAATCTCTTTCTATTTTTAGTAGAGAACAGGGTCTCACTCTTGCTCAGGCTGGTCTCGAACTCCTGAGCTCAAATGATCCACCTGCTTTGGCCTCCCAGAGTGCTAGGATTACAGGCGTGAGCCACTGTGCCCCGCCTACTAGTGAATTCTACTGAAAGTTTAGAGAAAAATTTACAGCAGTCTTTCAGAAATTCTTCCAAAAAATAGAAGAGAAGGGGAAAAGAGACAATTGAACAGTAGAGACTTCTGTAACCCACTTTCAATAATGGGTTACACTTTCATTATTGTAATGGGATACACTTCCTAACTCATTCTGTTAGGTCAGTATTATCCTCATGCCCAAATCAAAGACATCACAAGAATAGAAACCCATTGACCAATATTCCTTATGAATATGGATACAAAAATTCTCAACAAAATACTAGCAAGTCAAATCTAACAACATATAAAGGGATTATATACCTTGACCAAGTGAGAATATCCCAAGAATATCAGGTTGATTTAGCATTTAAAAATCAATTAATATAATTTACTATATTGTTAGATTGTTGATCAGTTTTTTGTTTACAGAAAATTGAGTGGAGTAGAGTTCTTATATACCTCCTGCACACCCACCACCTCCAGTTTCTCCTATTATTAATATCTTGCTTTAGTGCAGTATGTTTGTTACTATTAATGAACCACTGTTGATGAATTGATACATTATTATTAACTAAAGTCTCAGTCATTTTTGCTTAAAATATTTCTGTTCCTTTTTCTCTTTCTTCTTCTGATATTCCCATTATACATGTTATACCTTTTATAATTCTACCACAGTTCATGAATATTCTCTTCCATTCTTTTTCTCTTTGCTTTTCAGTTTGAGAATTTTCTATTAACATATCTTCAATATCACTGATTTACTTTGCTGTGACCATTCTTCTGATGAGCTCATCAAAGGTTTTCTTCACTTCTGTTTCAGTTTTTTTTTTTTTTTTTTGAGACAGAGTCTCGCTTTCTTGCCTAGGCTAGAGTGAGTGCCGTGGCGTCAGCCTAGCTCACAGCAACCTCAAACTCCTGGGCTCAAGCAATCCTACTGCCTCAGCCTCCCGAGTTGCTGGGACTACAAGCACAGCCACCATGCCCGGCTAATTTTATATTATATATTAGTTGGCCAATTAATTTCTTTCTATTTTATAGTAGAGACGGGTCTCGCTCAGGCTGGTTTTGAACTCCTGACCTTGAGCAATCCGCCCGCCTTGGCCTCCCAGAGTGCTAGGATTACAAGCGTGAGCCACCGCGCCCGGCCTTGTTTCAGTATTTTTGATACCTGACATTTCCTTTTTCTTTCTTAGAGTCTCCATCTCTCTGCTTACATTTCCTATCTGTTGTTGCATGTTGTTCACTTTTTTCATTACAACCCTTAGCATTTAATCACAGGTATTTTAAATTCCTTGTCTTATAATTCCCAAATCTCTGCTATATCTTTTTCTATGCCAGCTTTGTCCCTTCAGACTGTGTTTTTTCTTGCCTTTTGATTTTTTTTTTTCCTTGAAAGCTAAGCATGAGATACTGGGTAATAGTAACTGAGGTAATTAGGCTTTTAACGTGAGGTTTTATGTTTTCTGTTTTTGGGGTTTTTTGGAGACAGAGTCTCACTCTGTTGCCTGGGCTAGAGTGCCATGGTGTCAGCCTGGCTCACAGCAACCTCAAACTTCTGGGCTCAGGCAATCCTTCTGCCTCAGCCTCCTGAGTAGCTGGGACTACAGGCATGTGCCACCATGCCTGGCTAGTTTTTTTCTATATATTTTTAGTTGGCCAATTAATTTCTTTCTATTTTTAGTAGAGACAGTCTCGCTTTTGCTTAGGCTGGTTTTGAACTCCTGACCTGGAGTGATCTGCCAGACTCGGCCTCCCAGAGTGCTAGGATTACAGGCGTGAGCCATGGCGCCTGGCCCTGACTAGGAGTTATGCTATGTTTACTGTTTGTTATAGCTGAGACGTCAGAGGCTAAAATATCCTTTGGTGTCCTTGTTTTCATCTTTACTGTCATCTTTGGGTTTCCCTGGAGACTTCTTAAATAGGTTCAGAGACTTTCAGTTCTTTCAGCTGTAATCCTGGCATAGCTCAGGAGCCCAGTTGATACAGTGGTGAAGTTTATGGGGAGAGGAGCAGTCTCTAATCCTATGATTAGGTCTTAGTCTTTTAGGTCTTTTAGCGAGCCTGTGTCCCTGGACTATGACCTTCCAAAGTACTTGTAACTTTTTTAGGTGGGGCAGGAAGTGTAGAGGGAGCTGTAAATTGGTCCCAGCCCTCCTCCCACTTCAGTTAGGCTCTGGCATAATAATTATCCTTTATTACAGATACAGAGCACTCTCGGCTTATTTCAAAATGGTTACTTTCTTCTTTTTCCTGCCAGAAGCAGAAGCCCTGAGATCCTTGTGGGGCTAGTGGAGGTAAACTCATAAATGTGTTGGATTCCCCTAAAGATGACCCTTAAGAATTTTTATTTCTCAAGCTAGTCCACAGTTTAGTCTCTAGCAATTAATCAGTTACTCTTTACATGTTGCTATCAGACTCTAGCAGTGGCTTCTGCTTCGGGTAAGCTGCTCTTCTCTGTATTCATCCGTCTTTCCAGTTTTCAGGGTGACTGCCTTGTGACCTCAACTCTCTGATGGATCTCAGGAGAGTTGTTGATTTTCACTTTGTTCAGCAGTTTTCTTTTTTAAATTATATTTCTTTTTTCCTTGCATATTTCTCATAATTCTGGATGGTGCTTTTCTTTTGTATGTTGCAAGTGTTTTCTCCAGTTGGCCTTTCTTTTAACTCAATAATGTCTTTGAAAAAATAAGTTGCGAAAGCAGTATAGTTTATCAATCTTAACATATAGTGCCTTTTTGTGTCCTTTTGAAACATTCTTCCCGTTCTGAGTTTATGAAGATATTATTCTATATTATGTTCTACTTTTTGCCTCCTACAAGTCTATATACTCCATCTGGAGTTGATTTTTATATTTGGTATGAGGTAAGCATCACATTTCATTTTAGGTTTATCTTGGCTCTTCTTAGTCCTTTTTGTCTCTAAACTTCAGAATCAGCTTGTCAGTTTATGCTCACATACAAACACTGAGTTTAATAATTGAGACGATTCAAATCAGAGTAGCAGTTCCTATGAGGGTTTTGTCCTTGCTCTGTCACGTGGGCTAGAATGCCATGGTGTCAGCCTAGCTCACAGCAACCTCAAACTCCTGGGCTCAAGTGATTCTCTTGCCTCAGTCTCCTGAGTAGATGGGAATTTGGGCACATGCTACTAAGCCTGGCTTATTTTTCTATTTTGGGTAGAGATGGAATCTTGCTCTTGCTCATGCTGGTCTGGAACTGCTTACCTCAAGTGATCCTCTTGCCTCAGCCTCTCAGAGTGCTAGGATTACAAGCGTGAGCCATGGCACCCAGCCCCACAATTTATCTTTAAATGTTTCCATTTGCTTTTCTTTTTATTTCATTTATTTATTTAACAAGCATTTTTTGAACTTCTGCTACATGCCTAGAACCCTCCTAGGTGTTGGGATTATCAGTGTGAATGTCCCTACTCTTGAGGAGCTAGCCTCTAGTAGAGAGGCAGTAATGCTGTGGATAATGGAAGGTATCTGTAGGGTACTGCAGACTGAGTTAGGAGGAGTGTGTATGTCGGGTGGGGGGCTGGGGTTGGACAAAGCCAGAGAATGCTAGTCTTGAAGGACAAGAGTTGGAGAAGTGATAAAATTCATTTCAGAAAATTGTTCTCCAGTATGTTTCATCCTAACAAGCATTTTAATTTCTCTACTAGCTATTTTAAAGAGATTTTGATACTTTTATTTCTCTTGCCATGCTTTAGGCCAAGAACTAGAAATTTTTTTCCGTAAAGGCCAGATAGTAATATTTTAGGCTTTGAGGGCCATAAAGTTTTTGTCACAACTGCTCTGCCATTGCAGCGTGAAAGAAGCCATAGGTAATCCATAAATAAATGAACATAGCTGTGTTCTAATCAAACTTTATGTATGGACACAAATTTGAATTTCATATAGTTTTCATGTATCACAAAATATTCCTCCTTTTTTTGTTTTAAGCATTAAAAACCATTAACTTGCTGTCCAGAAACAGGCAGTGGGCTGGATTTGGCCTGTGGCCCACAGTGTGCCATCCCTGCTTCAGGCTATACCAGCGTATTTGTATGTATACTTTGCTTTTTTTTTTTTTAAACACAAAAGTAACTAACACACGCTTGGTATAAAACTAAAAGCCTTTCAGAAATACTGTATAGAAAATGAAAATCTCACTTTCCCTGTGCTAAATCTCATACCCTGTAATAATCACTTAGAACTATTTGGAATATATTTTAGAAATTGTTTTTCTATGTATAAAATTTATCATATCAGTGAATTTGTACTTAATCATGTGCTTAATAATTTAGTCTTTTTGAATTAATTTTGTACTGTTGTATTTTCAAGGTGCAAAAGGCAATTGAAGAAGAAAATTGTTGCTTTGGGACTATTGATACCTGGTTGTTATATAAACTCACAAAAGGTAAAGATATTCTGACAAATCTATCTCAAGTCACTGAAATTTGACCAAAAGAAATGATGTGCCCTAAAAAAGTAGACTTTTGTGTGTGTGTGTTTTTTTTTAACCACTTCTGAGTATGGAGAATGCAGAGTTTTTTTGTTTTTTGAGACAGAGTCTCACTTTATTGCCCAGGCTAGAGTGAGTGCTGTGGCATCAGCCTAGCTCACAGCAACCTCAAACTCCTGGGCTCAAGCAATCCTGCTGCCTCAGCCTTCCAAGTAGCTGGGACTACAGGCATGCGCCACCATGCCCAGCTGATTTTTTTTTATATATATGTTAGTTGGCCAATTAACTTCTTTCTATTTATAGTAGAGACGGGGTCTCGCTCTTGCTGAGGCTGGTTTCGAACTCCTGACCTCGAGCAATCTGCCCTCCTCGGCCTCCCAGAGTGCTAGGATTATAGGTGTGGGCCACCGTGCCGGGCCTTGTTTTTGTTTTTTTTTTTTTTGAGACAGAGTCTCGCTCTGTTGCCCAGGTTAGAGTGACGTGGCATCAGCCTAGCTCACAGCAACCTCCAACTACCAGGCTCAAGGGATCCTCCTGCCTCAGCCTCCCAAGAAACTGGAACGATAGGCGCTAGCCACCACACCGGGCTAATTTTTCCTATTTTTAGTAGAGACAGAGGTCTCACTTTTGCTCAGGCTGGTCTCAAACTCCTGAGCTCAAGTGATCCTCCCACCTCAGCCTCCCAGAGTGCTAGGATTATAGGCATGAGCCACCTTGCCTGGCCACAAAAGTAGAAGTTCCTCTTTGCTTTCTGTATCTCAGGCATACTGCTCTTTAGTACCCTAATTCAATAACTACCTGTTGTAATAAAGCTAGACTTATTCTAGATTTGTTATAAGAAGAGGACAATTTTAAAATTGTGATGAAACCTCAAAGATAAGACTGGGGAACAATCTTAACTTCAAGAGTGATAAGACTTGAATTGGGTACCAAATCTGCCATGTTGCAACTGAGTATAACATGGGTGATCATTTAGCATCTCTGAACCTCTTTCATCATGTTTATACTGGGGATCATAAAGTGGCAATGCATATGAAAGTGCTTTCGTAAATTATAAAAATTCTTAAAAATTAAGCAGGAAATTGCTTTTGGAAACTTCACATTGAAATATATATTTTGGAATGAATTTGAAGGTAAACAAAGGTCTAGATTATAAACTCAGGATAGGATGTGAGGGCACATCCTGGCTGTGACATCTGTCACTCCATTGATTGCCAGGGTTGATTTTGTTGACTGAAGAAATAATGAAGTTCATGGTTTGCAAAGGAGAGCTTTATTTCTTATAAAGGGTTGTAGCCTATGGGTAGCCATTTTTATAGGCTGGAAAACAGAGCCTCTGGCCATAGCCAGGAACACTTACTTTAAAGGAGGTATATGGGAAAAGGAATTAATGCTGAGTGGGATGGCCAAATATATATATTTAATAAGCTATAGGAGGAGTCATGAATATCTATGAAAAGAGAAACAAGTGCATGTGCAGTCAAGCTTTATACCCCTTAATAGGGTATGTGTGCAGAATATGGCAGCCCTCTGGTGTCAAAAGGTGAAACAAGGACATGAAAACCCTCTGTACATGCTCCATAGACTGCTTAAACCACTCATGCTTGGTTATCTCTTATCAGGAAAGAATGCTGGTCTGGATCACGAGATTGTTCTCTGTTTAGCCTTGGGAAGTAAAAAAACCTGATGGCAGTTAGTAAGGGAGGAAGTGTAGAGTCATGTCCTACTTCCCAATCCTCTCATGGCTGGGAACTGAGTTTTAAGGTTTCTCTAAGGTCCTCTTGTCTGGAAGAGGGGTCCAATTGGCCAGCAGGGGGCTTTGGATTTTATTTTTTAATTCATGATTTATACTGTCTGATAATAAATGCATGTTTCCAATGTAAATTTAGGTTCTGCATATGCCACAGATTTTTCAAATGCTAGTACAACTGGACTTTTTGACCCATATCAGGTAAAGATTTTTTCTTCCTTTTGAGTTACCTTTTTTTGTGTAATACAGGTTGGATTTAAAATGATTTTAATTAATTTATTTTTAACTGACAAAACTTTTATATATTTGTCAGGTACACCATGATGTTTTAAAATGTTTATAGATTTGAAATATGTAAATATTTATATTCTGATGACATATTTCTATGCTCAGATGTGTTGGAGTGGGTTCATTACCTCCCTGCTATCGATACCACTCTCTATCCTGCCTCCTGTGAAGGACACGAGGTAATAATTAACATTAGACATTGAAACCAGCAAAATTCTTAAATTCATTTTACTTTGGTGGGGAAAAGCATTTTATTAAATGATTGAGGGGCTTATGTGTTTATCATATAACTTTTTGTCCTATGCTAAAAATGATTTGCTGAATTTTAGAATTAATATTTCTAGAACTATCACTAACTTTTTTAACAATTTTATTTGAAGCCACTATTTTGGATCAGTGGATGAAGAGATATTTGGTGTGCCTATACCAATAGTTGCCTTGGTAAGTAGAAAACTTAAGAGTGTCTCCTTGTATAGTATAAACTAAATGAATATGTATGACTAACTGGAACTAGCGTTAAGAGAAATAAAAGGTCCTTGGCAGAATAAAATTAAAATATGGGTTTTTTTCTTTTTAAGTTAAAGGAACCAGGATATTACCAGAAACATCCTCTATATTTTTAGAAAGGGTACCACTGGGCCAATCTTTCATTATGGAAGCACTACTTCCATGATACTACCTACTCTGACTTGTATGTTGTTTTTCAAAACAGTATTCTAATTTTAAAGATGTATTCTGAATAATGTTTAGTTTATATTTGGTAGTCTGAAACAAAAAACAGTGATGGGGGCCAATGCTTAGTTTATATTTGATGCAGTATAACCATAAACAGTGATAGGGCAGTTTAAACTAAAGGAGAGAGGCTGGGAGCGGTGGCTCATGCCTATAATCCTAACACTCTGGGAAGCTGAGGTGGGTGGATTGCTCAAGGTCGGGAGTTCGAAACCAGCCTGACCAAGAGTGAGACCCTGTCTCTACTAAAAATAAAAAGAAATTAATTGGCCAACTAATATATATAGAAAAAATTAGCCGGGCATGGTGGCGCATGCCTGTAGTCCCAGCTACTCGGGAGGCTGAGGCAGAAGGATCGCTTGAACCCAGGAGTTTGAGGTTGTTGTGAGCTAGGCTGACGCCACAGCACTCATTCTAGCCTGAGCAACAAAGTGAGACTCTGTCTCAAAATAAATAAATAAATAAAGGAGATATATAAAGAAATAAAGTTTATATAAATAAAAAATATATAAATAAAATATATATATATAAAGAAATAAAGTTGTATGTGCATGTAATAATCTTTAGCCAACATCTACCAATAAAGAAAATTGTGGAAGAATGAAAAATTTGCTGTTTTTGATTTTTAAGGGTACTTTCATGTTGCTTTTGGTTTCCTGCAACAGCTTAAGCAGGAGGTGTAGACCACCTGTCCCTATATGGACAGTCCCCACAGTTGCTGGGGTAACTGGCAAGGGAAGGGGAATTTAATTCCCAAGTTACACATTTATTGTCATTTAGAGAGGATCAGTCTTATTCAATCTAGGGATAGGTTCCAGGTGAGATTAAGGTATGGCAGGAAGAATTATGTATTAGTGAGAAAGGGTTCTTTCAATGTGTTTTGATCCTTACCATATTGCTGTATGTATTTCTGCATTTGACTATGTTAACAAAATGTTATGATTTTTCTTTTAACAAAAAGTATGGTTGGGAAATGGATGGTTTTGACTTACATGTATTTATATTGAAACATACACCTACCACTTAATAAAAATTTGTGAGGGTCCATTATTTTGACTAGTGAATGAAACCTGTAAGTTGAAAATGAAAAATCTTAGTTGGTTTTTTCCCATACAATTTTTATTCTTACCTTCATTTCTAAGATTATTCATATGATGCTTAAAAGTCATGAAGTAGGTTGCCCATTAAAAATGCCTCAGACACATTAATTATCCATACAGTATTAGTCCTAGAGAAACTCCTATCCTATAGTTGTTGCTCTCTGTTCTCTTTGGGATTTTATTTTACTTTCTTAAGGAACAAGAAAATATGTAATCATGAGAATACAATGAATGAGGCAATGGAATGTAATGAAATGGTCCGTCACTAAGAGCAGTGGGTCTTACATTTGAACATTTTTGGTAGGTCGCTGACCAGCAGTCAGCCATGTTTGGAGAGTGCTGCTTCCAGACAGGTGATGTGAAATTAACCATGGGAACTGGAACATTTTTGGATATTAATACTGGAAATAACCCTCACCATACTGTTGGAGGTAAATAGTTAGAATTTATCTTATTTATTAATAAAATATCATTTCTATTCATATGTAAATTTTATGATACTTATACCATTTTTCCATTTTACGTTAAAGATATTTTCTAACATGTTGTTCATTATTATTCTTAAAGATAATTTCCATTTCTTTTTTTAGCCTTTAAGTTAAAGGCATAGGCTGGGTGCAGTGGCTCATACGTGTAATCCTAGCATTCCAGAGGCCGAGGTGGGAGAATCTCTTGAGCTCAGGAGTTTCAGACCAACCTGAGCAAGAGTGAGACCCCGTATCTACTAAAAATAGAAAAAATTAGCCAGGCATGGTGGTGCACACCTGTAGTCCCAGCTACTCGGGAGGCTGAGGCAGGAGGATCGCTTGAGCCCAGGAGTTTGAGTTTGCAGTGAGCTAGGCTGACACCACTGCCCTCTATCCTGGGCAAAAGAGCAAAACTGTCCCCAAAACAAACAAATAACATAAGAAAACCAAGAAAGATATTATAGAAAAACTCAGAAGGATTCAGGTATTTTCGTCAGCTTTCCAAATATTTATCTATAATACATGTTATAGTTGTTTAAAACTTATTACTAGGGCTCTAAATTTTTTTCTATGTGTTAGAAAATTGTTTTGTGAATATTTTTGGGTGTAGTCCTCAACTAGTGATCCATGCATGTTTAGGGTTAAAACCTCCATTTCCTCCAGTGCTCTTCCTAATGGAGGAAACCTGGGATGTGCAAACCAAGAAATCTAGATTGTGGAACAGATACCCTGGTGGGCTAGGGGCTCATAGTTTGGGCTTTGTTGCCCTAACATGGCTATTAAGAGGTAGTTTAAGAAATATTTTTCCTGTCTTCTATCCCCTGTCAAGCTCTTCCTTTGCTCCTAACTGTAAACATGGAAGCTAGAAGGTGTTGATTATTATATTGTAGATTATTTCTATTTAAGAACCTTATTTGGAAACCACAGGTAAGCACAATAGCATAGTTAGTTCTCTAGCGAACTGATCTCATAGTAACCTTTTATTTCTCAATTAAAACACTTATTGCTGTGTTTCTAAAAACATAGATATGCCTATAGTTAATAAAAAATAATATTCATTGTTTATATTTTATACAAGGCACTATGTGAAGTTCTTTTTATGTATTAACTTACTAAGTTTATTCTTTTTTTTTTTTTTGAGACAAGGTCTTACTCTGTTGCCCAGACTGGAATGCAGTGACACAGTCATAGCTGACTACAGCCTCAAACTCTTGGGCTCAATCTATTCTCCCACCTCAGCCTCCCAAGTAGCTAGGACTACAGGCATGTAGCATGCCTGGGTAATTAAAAATTTTTTTTTGAGTAATTAAATTTTTAAAAATTTTTTGTAGAGATGGGGTCTTGCTGTATTGCCCAGGATGGTCTCAAACTCTTGGCCTTAAGTGATCCTCCTGCCTTGGCCTCCCAAATTGCTGGAATGAACCACTGTGCCCAGCCTTGGTTTATTCTTATAGTAGCTACTCTATCAGGTAGACCATTTTACAGTTGAGGAAACTGAAGCTAAGAGGTTGGAAACTTGGAAGACCATAACTAGTGAATGCTAGAAGGCTGGGATTTGAACTCAGGCAGTCTGACTTCAGAGGCATTTTGCAATTTTTTTTTAAATAATCAAAAATTAATTAATCTATTGTAGAAGTCTCTGTAATGAATTATATATTTACCATATGACTTATTCTTTATTTTTTGTTTGCTTTGTAAGGCTTTTATCCATTAATTGGGTGGAAGATTGGGCAAGAAATTGTATGCTTAGCTGAAGGCAATGCAGGAGACACTGGTACTGCCATAAAATGGGCTCAAAAATTAGGTAAGTCATCTTTGAAAGATTTCACAGGCCAAACTTAAAGAAATCAGGAATACCGTAGGATCGCAGATCAATAGAGAATGAATGAATTGTTCAGATAAAACATAAATATAAAATGACATGTACTAGAAGAAAATACAGGATATTTTTATGATATTGGGTTGGTAAAGGGCTAGGTATTAAGGCCAGAAGCCATAAAGAATAAGAATAATAGGTTTAAGTATATGAAATGTCAGAATGTGTAGGGAGAACTATCCCATAAGCAACATTAAAAGATAAATTGATAAAAATTTATAGCATATTATCAGAAAAATTAATAAAATGACAAAAAATGGGCAAAGGACAGAAATACAGATATTTCATAATCAAATGACCATTATGAAATGCTGTTCACATTTAATAAACAAATGCACATTGAAATGTCTTAAGTTGCATAGTACCAAGAAAAACATTTGAAACACAATTTAATACTGTTCCCAAAGGTAAAGAAAATGATTGTAATTCTGTAAAAATAGTACTTAGAGGAAAATGATGAATGCTTGTTAATAAGAAGAAAAAAGAGAAGCACAATAAACTTCCAAGCCAAAAAATATAAGCATATACATACAAATCATAATATTGAAAAAACAAAAGTGAAGTTGATAAGCTAAATTTCTTTTTAAAGTACACAAGTATTAATTCTCTGTATATGTTTCACTGGGTACACACACATGTGGAGAGAATTACAGAGAGGTGGAAATGAGAACTATTTAACTTTTTTTATTTAGAAATAATTTCAAACTTAAAGTTGTAAAAATAGTACAAAAACTCTTGTATATACTTTATCCAGATAGGCCAGTTTTTAACATGTTGTTTTTAACATATTTTTGACATGTTTAACAGTTTTTAACATGTCCATCATCTACCCATCCATCCTATATGTTATAGAATAAATATTTATATCCATATAATTTTTCTGAGCTGTTTGAGAATAAGTTGAATGCATCATGTTCCTTATGCTATCACTGTGTATTTCCTGAGAACAAGAAAGTTCTCTTACATATCTACAGTAATGTTTTTAATTTCAGGACATTTAACATTGGGTATAATTATTTTTATCACATATTTGGAATCCATTTTATCACAAATTTGGAATCTATATTCCAAATTTGTCAGATGTCTCAATAATGTTCTTCATGGCAATTTTTTTTGCAATACAGGATCCAGTCCAGGATTGCTTATCGTATAATTTCCTTTAATCTGGGACAGTTTCCTCAGCCTTTCTTTGCCTTTTATGCCATTGACATTTTTGAAGAATACAGGCCAATTATTTTATAGAATGTCCACTTGGGTTTCTCATGACTAGTTTTGGCTGAAATAATATGTAAGGGGTACCATGTTCTTCTTAAAATATATGTATCTGGAGATGGAAGGTATCTGTTAGTCCTGTTTTGTTTCTTTTAACGTTGTTCATGTACATAAGATGTTTTTCTTATTTCTGCATTGTATAATTACTGTTTTTCTTTCTTCAGTAAATAATTTGTGGGGAAATACTTTGAGACTAGCTAGAAATCTTATTTCTTGTCAAAGTTACCCTATTTCTCTAAATTTAACATTCATCGATGATTCTTTCCTGAGTCAGTTTAATTCTGATGGTTGCAAAATGGTGTTTTCTTTTTCTTTTCTTTTCTTTTTTTTTGAGATGGGATCTCACTCTTGCTGGGGTTAGAGTGCAGTGGTGACATCATAGCTCACTGTAACCTCAAACTCCTGGACTTAAGCAATCCTTCTGCCTCAGCCTCCCAAGTAGCTGGGACTACAAGCATGCACCACCATGCCTGGTTAATTTTTCTATTTTTGTAAAGGTGGGGTCTCACTGTGTTGCTCAGGCTAGTCTCAAACTCCTGGTCTCAAGTGATCCTCTTGCCTCAGCCTCCCTAAGTGCTAGGATTACAGGCATGAGCCACCATGCCCAGCCACAAAATGGCATTTTCTAAGTTTATTATGCCTTCTATGTTGATTATTTAGTATTTGTTGTATAGGGAAGTGCTTTCCCTTCTCTCCTGTGTTTATCTGCTTACTATCAGTATAGACTCATGGTTTCTTACTTTATTCAACATATTACAATTGTTGTAGTTCTTATTTATTTTCATGCTCAAATCTTCCCAGATTTGTACAGTGAGAATCCCTTCAAACTAGCTTCCATGTCTTTTAAATGTCTACATCTATTATTTTTTGAGCATCACCTTAGTTTCTGACATAAGAATATAACAAACTTAATTAAGGCTGTCTAAAGCCAGCAATATTTATTATGGCTGATTCCTAAGCTTTTTCATCTGATCTACACTGTAAGTTATACATGCTCATTCAGGAGTCACTTCACAAACAAGGGCATCTAAATGGCCAAAAAGGTAGTCAGCTTTATTAGTTAACAGGGAAATGCAAAATCAGACTGCTATGCAATACTATCATGATAGCTAAAATGAAAAACATAGACAATATTAATTATTGGTGAGAATATGGGATAACTGGAACCCTCATGCTGCTGGCAGGAGCCTTAAGTTGGTACAGCTACTTTGAAAAATTATTTGAAAGAATCTATTAAAGCTAGTCCTAAATGTGAAGACCCTAGAACTAGCAATTCCATCTCTTGGTATTAACAAACAGGAATATATATATATGTAAATAATGTGTGTGTGTGTGTGTGTGTATCTCCACCAAAAATAATGTACATGAGATTTCAATGTGGCTTATTTATATCAGCCAAACACTGAAAACTACCCAAATATATATCAGCAGTAGAATAGATTAATAAATTGTGTATAGTCGCATAATGGAATACTATGTAGGAGTAAGAATGATGTTATTAGCATGATGTTGAATGGAAGAAATTTATATCTTTATCTGGGTGTGGGTTACCTGAGTGTGTTCATACTGTGAAAATTTAGGTGTAGGTTTAGGATTTATGCGTTTTTCTGTATATATATTATATATTTCAGTAAAAAGTTTACTGAATGAGTTAAGTCTTGATTTTTTGTTTGATTGTGTTTTAAAAATTGACTTTTAGTGTATTTATTTGTTATTCGCCCTTTACTGAACTCACTAGATGGAGTAGCTTTTCAATTGATTCTCTCAAGTGTTACAGGTAGTTGATACTTTCATCAGAAAATTCACATGGCACTTTTTAAAGCATACTTTTTTTTAATGTCAAAAATCATACATAGAATTGATTTTTAAAACTGCCCAAATGTCTTTAAAGGAAAAAGTAAAGCCTGCTGCATACAGAGCCTATCTAAGAGAGCCTTCTAGCTCCCTTGTCCTTTCTATGGGCTCATAAACCTATGCAGAGTGAGAACTCAGAATGGCCTTTGTGTTGACCCTTTGAAGTGAGTGACCTTTTACATTATATTCATAATAAATGTGGATGCAGGTAAATACTAGTCATATAACATAATTCTGTTTGTCCCTCTCCAGCCTCTTCATTTTGTTGTAGGGTTTTTTATGTTGTTTGTTTTTGTAGATCTTTTCACAGATGCTGCTGAGACTGAGAAAATGGCCACAAGTTTGGAAGATTCTGAAGGAGTTTGTTTTGTTCCATCTTTTAGTGGATTACAGGTATTTTTTTTTTAAGTTAATGATAATTATAGACATTTTTCTCCTTCTACCATATTCAAAATTATGTATCTACCACTCTGTTGCCTGAAAATTTGGGCACTGAACCAAACTAAGGTGAAAGGTACATTCTAGGGCTGAGAAGTTACGCTCTGACCTAGTGTGAATTCCATGAGAGAGCAGCATGTTCCTGAGTGTGACCCTGCTGGTTTGGCTTTTACTTACAGAATTCACTTGGCTTCTGCCTAGAACTCTATCCCTCTGGAACCTAAGAGTTGGCAGGTTTATCACAGAACTTTTATGTAAGACCCTAGGATTACCTTATCATGACCAAAAATAGCCATTACCCAGTGGGGGACATATATCAGTTGATTGCATTCTTTATAAGAATGTAAAGAATGGAAATGTACAACTGAGAATTAGAAAAATAATGTCAAGGTACATACACCACATCCATTTACACATGTATGTATACCTATATATTTTGCAGTTGGATTTGTAAGTTTTATTAACTTTTTTAAAAATGAAAATCTTTTTTTGTTAATTGTTATGGTAGAATATTTGTTCCTTTGCCTAATCAAAAAGAGAACTTAGTAAAAGATTTGATTTTATAACATTTAACTTTATATTTAATTGAAAGATTTGTGTTACTGCCTTGGATTTTAGAATACTGTTACAAAGACTTTTAAAAAAGGTTTCAAGAATATTATTATGAACAAAATTACTTTTGAGGGAAAGCTTAAACTAGTCCTTTTAATCCTCTTTTAAGTGTTTTTTCCTTTCAAAAAATTAAGTTTTCCTTCTAGTCCATTCCATATTCAGTCAATCAGTTATAAAAAGTCCAAAATTTGAAAATTTAGGTATTGTAGTATAGAATCTGGTGGGAAAAAAATTAGGTCAAGATGTTTTTTAAGTCTTTAAAAATACTAAACTTCCACACTAGATTTTAAAATGAGGACTATTTCAACATCTGTAATATTTTTTTTTTTTTTTTTTTTTTTTTTGAGACAGAGTTTCACTTTGTCGCCCGGGCTAGAGTGAGTGCCATGGTGTCAGCCTAGTTCACAGCAACCTCAAACTCCTGGCCTCAAGCAATCCTCCTGCCTCCCAAGTAGCTGGGACTACAGGCATGCGCACCACCATGCCCGGCTAATTTTTTCTACATAATTAGCTGGCCAATTAATTTCTTTCTATTTATAGTAGAGACAGAGTCTCGCTCTTGCTTAGGCTGGTTTCAAACTCCTGACCTCGAGCAATCCACCTGCCTCGGCCTCCCAGAGTGCTAGGATTACAGGTGTGAGTCACCATGCCCGGCCATGTAATATTTTTCTTCTAAGTACTTTATTGTAAAGGACTGAAAGCTTACGACTTGTGCAGAGAAATTGCATTGCATCCTTTTCACAGTAATGTGAGGCAGTCTGGTGATAGGACAGAAAGTGAAAAATACTTATCTAATTGAGGTTTCAGGAGGAAGGTTAGACGACTAATTGTCATCAGCAAAAGTAACGTTTGATTACGTAACTACTGATTCTTCCCTTTTGCAAACATATGCTGGGAGACTTAGTAGTGACTTTGTTGTGGCAACTCTGTCTTTAATTTTCTCTATCACCTCATGTGCCTATGAAAATAAAGTATGTGATTTAAAAAAAAAAAAAGCAAAGTATTGCAAAAGCCCAATAGATTTAGATGCAACTATCACAGATAAGATTTTTAATTTCACTTTGATAACAAAATATCCCTGTCCTGCCATGATTGCAACTTGGCAATATATTGGCAGTTGAGGGCAGGTGGAGGAGGTGATGGAGTGACTACAGGCCTAATAGTCCCTTGCGTAAAATGAAACTCTTAACTGGAAACTGAAAGTTAATTCAAACAATAGTGTGTTGATACTAAGCTAATTAGATAACAGGGGAGAAGATTGCCTATAAGCTGCCTTTGTCAACAACTAGAGAAAATGAAGTATGGGGAATGGAAGGAAGGAAGGAAGTTTCAAGTATCTGTGCTATTGCCTTTAATTTTAGAAAATTGTTACAGCCTTAGATAATGGGAGTCAATATGTTGAAGGCTTGTGGTTTGGGGAGTGGGACACTAAAGTAGGTATTGAAAGCAAGAATCAGTCATCTACTTAGATGCTAAGATGTTACTGTGACCATGGCAGTAGTAGGATGGATAGGTCTGTAGCCAAGTCCAAGTCTTCAGAGGATGTAGAGTCATGTTCCAATGATGTTTTTTTTTTTTAGTTTGCAAGGAAGAAGCTTGCTTAAGCCAACCTAAGAGAAGCTGGTTTTTCATATTTTCCTGAGGACTGGAATTGGAAAGGAGTCAACAACTGACTTAGCAGTTCTTAGGGTTCTTTGGTTTCTTGCTTCTCTCTGTAGTTCTGCTTTTCTTCTTTTCATTATCAGCTTTGCTTTGTATCCTTTCATCTTCATAGCTTCTGCTTAATTGTTGTTATTTTTCTTATGCTGTCTGCTTTTTCACAGCTTAGGAATATCACACACAACCTTCCTCTACCTACGCATCCTTTTAGCTTCAGTTCCCCCATTGATGGAGTGTTTTTCTTAGTGTTTGCTAATTTCCATTTCCAAGAGGAGGGAATCTGACTGGCCCACCTTATCTTTTCAAGCGTGAGTCACATTTTGAGCCAGCCGTGCTCACCCCCCCTACAGTTGTTGTGGTGGTACAGGGTCTAGGGCATGGCTTATGGTAGCTTTAGACAACAGGGCTGATGAATTCAAGCAGTTAAGCAGTTTTTTTAGAAGGGGATGAAATCATCACGTACTATGATTGGCATCTCTAGTCCTATGAGTGACTGGGCATCTGTATGGTGGAAAGGGTAAGGGAGATGTGATACTGTTCCTGATGTGGACCTAAAGCAAACATAGGAGAAGGAAAATGTCTGCTAACATTAGAATCATAATGGCCTAGAGTGATCACAGGAAGTTAGAACAGTATCTTCTGGTCCCTGTGGTATGGAATCATGACAGTCCTTTGCCAAATAGCTAAGACTCAAGCCATTTTTGCAGCACAGAACCAAGTTTGCTATAGCAACCACAAAATGAGTGGAGGGAATTTCCTGGAAGAGGTTAAGAGAAGTTTATTTACAATAGAAGAAGAGTTTAGAAGGCACAGTATGAAGGTTATGAAGAAAGTAGTAGTAGTGTGAAGGGTTTGGATAAAGAATAATAATAAAATAATAATAATGGTAGTGGCAGCTAGCTTGTGAATACTTACTATATCAGGCATTGTCCTAAGTTCTTTACATGCATTATTTCATCTAATCCTCAGTAACTGAACAAGGAAGAAGACACTCCTATTCTGAACCTAGGGAAACTGAGATGATTTAGATCTGTTAAATCTCTTGCCCAATCTCACACAGGTGGTGAGTAGCAGAGCTGGCTTTGGAACCCAGGCATTCAGACTCCTTTGTGCCATACTGCTTCACAAGATAGCACAGAATATTATGACAGTGGGAATACACAAGAGGCAGTGTAGCTTGTGTTCAGGGTAGATTGATAAAGACAAGAGGAGGTATGGTGGTATTAACCATCTGACAAATCCCCATCAGATTTGGCTGAGATCCCAGTGGTGACAAGGATCATGGGACAGGTAAATCTATGCCTTGGCAGGACACTACTAGGTTTGCTCAGGGTCCCAAACAGAACTTTGTTGAGTCCTGCTATTCCTAGTTGGTTGATGGTTCTGGGGAGGCTCACTCCACATAGTTGAAAATCTGCATGTAATGGTTTTTTTGGAGGCAGAGCCTAGCTCTGTCCGCCCCAGCTTGAGTGCAGAGGTGTCATCATAGCTCACTGTAATCTCAAACTCTGGGCTCAAGCAGTCCTCCTACTTCAGCCTCCCGGGTAGCTGGGACTACAGGTGTCCACCATCACTCCTGGCTAATTTTTTCTATTTTTAGTAGAGATTAGATCTTGCTCTTGCTCAGGCTGGTTTCGAACTCCTGAGCTCAAGCTATTCACCTGCCTCGGCCTCCCAGAGTACTAGGATTACAGGCGTGAGGCACTGTACCTGGCCTACAAGTAACTTTTGACTCCCCAAAAACTTAACCACTAATAGCCTTCTGTTGACTGGGAGCCTTACCAATAACATAAATAGTCGATTAACACATATTTTGTATGTGTTACGTGATGTATTCTAACAATAAAGTAAGATAGAGAAAAGAAAATGTTATTAAGAAAGTCAAAAGGAAGAGAAAATATGTTTACTATTCATTAAGTGGAAGTGAAACATCAAAGGCCTTGTCTCCCTTGTCCTCACACTGAGTAGGCTGAGGAAGAGGAGGAAGAGGAAGGGTTGGTCTTGCTGTCACAGGGGTGGCAGAGGCAGAAGAAAATCAGCATATAAGTGGACCCGTGTTGTTCAAGGTCAACTGTACATACTCAGCTGAAGGTTTTGGCTCTTTTAAAGACAGGTGTTAGGCTGGATCATTTCTGATATAAGGTGGTAAGATTATTAAGCTAAGATAAAGAATGTAGTTTTAATGTCTGACAACATGTTTTATGTAAGTTATGACACGGAAAAGCAAATTTTTGGCATTATTGTTTTTTTTTTTTTTTATCTTAAGTCTAAACCTATATCTTCAAAAAACCACTCTGCATAGTGAACAATTTTAGTGTAAAAACTTTATAGTTGGAGAAACGGGGATTTCAGTGATTGCTTTTCATTTTCCACATTTATCAAGAGAGGCATTTAATTTGTTAAATCTTCAGACCCTTTTCTTGGTATGAGCTCAAACATAAGATCTAGCTAAGTGCAGTAACTGTGACTTAACCTTTTTAAAATACTATTACAATTTTTTCCTAATAATTAACCTAACATTTGGGCTATCATTTGTTTTTAAATTATTTAATTTATTAATAATTATTAATTTATTACTTGAATTATTAATAAATAAGCATTTTCTTCTAACATAGGTATGTTTTTATCATATACTGTTTCCTCAAGTCTATAGATATGATTTAGAACAATAATAATATATTATTACTATCTTTTACTCTAGGCTCCATTACATGACCCCTGGGCATGTGCCTCTTTCATGGGTTTGAAGTCTTCCACCAGTAAATACCATCTCGTACGAGCAATATTGGAGGCAATAGCTTTCAGGTATGAAAATCTGCCATAAACTTATCCCTCCTCTTATAGTATTGCCATTTCCTTTATTAATTTCCTGCTAAATTGAACATTTGAAAATTTTAATTAAATTCTTTAATTTATATTTTTAGTTTAATATATATTATGTATGGTAAAATTTGTTTTTGTTGGCCAGGTGTGGTGGCTCACATCTGCAATCCTAGCACTCAGGCAGGCTGAGGCAGGAGGATCGCTTGAGCCCAGGAGTTTTAGGTTGATTTGAGCTAGGCTGATACCATGGCACTTTAGCCCAGGCAACAGAGTGAGACTCTGTCTCATTCATAAACGAATGAATGAATGAATGAATAAATGAATGGAATGAATGAATGAATGAATGAATAAAAAAATATGTTCTTGTTGCCAATTTCCTTGGTATCTCTTATCTTTTCCCATATTTAGTAGTACTAATACCACTTAGTTTTGGTATCTGAAAATTGAGTAATTTTTTAGAATACCCAACTTCTTAAGCATACAGGATTCAAAATTTGGATTTTCAAAGGGTTAATGTCCTTATTCATGAAGTGCTTTTGTTATACTCAAAAGATTGAATGATCAGAATTATCTTTATGCATAGTTCCCTATGGTCTTTTTGTTATGGAACAAATATCAATTATTAAAATTAAAAATGTGGCCATCATTAATATGAAATGTTAACCTGGCACAGTGGCTCATGCCTATAATGCTAATACTCTGGGAGGCCAGGGTAGGAGGAAAGCATGAGGTCAGGAATTAGAGATCAGCCTGAGCAAGAGTGAGATCCCATCTCTAGTAAAAATAAAAAAATTAGCTGGGCATGGTGGTGTAGGCCTGTAGTCTTCAGCTACTTGGGAGGCTGCGGCAGGAGGATCGCTTGAGCCCAGGAGTTTGAGGTTGCAGTGAGCTATGATGATGCCTTTGCACTCCACCCAGGATGACAGAGTAAGACTCTATCTCAAAAAGAAGAAGAAGAAGAAGAATATGGAATGTTTATAATGTTTAAAATAAAATTTTCTGTGATTACAAAATGACCATATGTATGTTTGCTGAATTCTATTAGATGCTATGCATGGTATGTTGTCTTAACTATCTATTAAATAGATGCTTGAGTTAAATTTTTCTTTATATAATGGTAAAAGATTAAATTTAGCTGTTAAATAAAAATTATACTCTCTTGTATGAAGGTGAAAAACCCGAGAACCTGAGTTTCTCGCTTATCTGGGCATCTGCGGTTCCCAACTCCCCCGGGCCACGGACCGTAGTGGTGGTGGCCTGTTAGGAACTGGGCGGCAGAGCTCCACAGCCTCCACTGCCCCCTCCCAACCCACCCGGATCTGTGGAAAAATTGTCTTCCACGAAACTGGTTCCTGGTGCCAAAAAGGTTGGAGACCTGAAGATGACTTCCATTTGGCATGATATTTTCTTTAATATTATTCTTCTGCATATTTTATAAATATCAAGTAAAATAGAAAATTATTATGATATAAATTTCTTCTAAATAGTTATCTTGTTTCTTTATTAGAAACAAACAATTATACGAGATGATGCAGAAAGAGATCCGTATTCCTGTAACAAAAATTAGGTATGTAAACTTTGTTTCTAATAGATTTAATTAGAAATTAGGGCCGGGCTTGGTGGCTCACGCCTGTAATCCTAGCACTCTGGGAAGCCGAGGCGGGCGGATTGCTCAAGGTCAGGAGTTCGAAACTTGCTCCAGCCTGAGCAAGAGCAAGACCTTGTCTCTACTATAAATAAAAAAGAAATTAATTGGCCAACTAATATACATAGAAAAAATTAGCTGGGCATGGTGGCGCATGCCTGTAGTCCCAGCTACTCGGGAGGCTGAGGCAGGAGGATCACTTGAGCCCAGGAGTTTGAGGTTGCTGTGAGCTACACTGATGCCACGGCACTCACTCTAGCCTGGGCAACAAAGTGAGACTCTGTCTCAAAAAAAAAAAAAAAGAAGTGGTAGCTGCTATTAGTATTTACATTATTATGATCATTCAGGATTTCAAAAAGAACTTATGGTTAGCTCTTTTGCAGCAAAATTCTTAGTTGTAGGAATTTGGAGAGGACAGGAAAGTCAATTACAGATTTATGAAATTTGGAAACATCTTGGCCCCCATATGTGTATTATGTAAATCTTTAAAATCACCTTTTTTGGGTGTGTAGCTATTTTTTGGCAAGGAAGCATCAAATTTCTTGACTTTTTTTCTTGTAATGTCCAGATGAATTTTTATGTGGTCTTTGTTTATTATACTTGCCCTATTTTGAAGTAGTCCCAAGACAAACAGGGCAGGTGGGAAAATTGATGGCAGGAATAATGAAAAATGTTTATTACCCACTAAGGTCCTCTGTCATCAGATCAATGCTAAGTGATATAATTTGGAATTAAAAAGTTAAACTTATAAAATAAAATCAAGGATTTAAGGAAATATATGGCCCTCTTAAAAAGAATTAATGATGCTTTTGTTGTAGCAATTTATCTCTCTTATTTTTCTCCCTGCAGGGCAGATGGAGGAGTTTGTAAGAATGATTTTGTCATGCAGATGACTTCAGACTTGATTAATGAGAATATAGACAGACCTGTCCACATTGACATGTCATGCTTAGGTGCAGCTTCTTTAGCTGGTCTTGCTGTTGGTATGTGTGGATTTTATAAATACGAGAGCTTTCTTATAAACTATTTCTTATAGATAGCATTTCTCCTCTCAAATCTCAAAATTGTAGAGAAGATCTAGAAAGCCTTGGTGTCCATTAAGTGCCATACACATAGGCATATTGCTCACAACGTATCCTGTGACCTTCTTTGTTGGTGGGTCTGGTTGCACCTCTTCCATCTTTACTTTACTCCTTCAGTCAGAAAACGTACGAGATGAGGACAATTAACTCTCAGCTGCTTTGGTCTCTAACAGGGGAGGGTCTCTGGATAAGCTTTTTGGGTAGATAGTGTTAAAGAAGAAAATTATTCAGTGACACTTGCTAAAGGACAGTAAGGCAGACTTTATTTGGGAGGACTATCAAGATAGATATAGGAACTACTTCAGCGGATCTGGTAGTGGGGGAGAGATATTAGGCTCCACTTTGAACACAACAAGGAAAAGTGGGAATTTATAGCCAACGAACAGGATGAGAGTCAGTAGGTGGAAAATTACTGAGAGGAAACACCCGGGTAAGGGGAAATTCTGACCAAATTGACCTAACATGATTCTTGTTGAAAGGCAGGCCAGGGTTGACTTCACTTGGGAGATGGTGGAGGATGAAATAATGAGCGTGAGCAGATATCGAGGAAAGGAGCAGATATCTGACTACTGACATGGTTGGATTATTGTTAAAATTAGATAATGCAGAGATGAACATGGAAGTCCAAAAATTAAGGTCTAGTTGAAAAGGAGCTCAGAAGAGACAGTAGTTTGCTCAAGGAGGGAATCTTTATCAGTAGGCTTGTCTTTGGCATTGAAACCCCTTCATTATTTTATTTATTGAACAATGTTTGTTGAGTACCTGTGACATGACAGTCACTGCTGGGAATAAAGAGGTTAAAAGCCATGTTCCTGTGTAGCTGTCGCGAAAAAAAAAAAAAAAAAGCCATAGTCCTTGATCCCTGGTGGGAACAGACAGGTAAGTTAAGCAATTATTAAATGCGTTTAATAAACTCAGCGAACAGCCATAGCATCTTAAACAAATGGTGTAGGCTTCCCAGAGCAGGGGACATATAACTCAATTTTGAAGGGGTTAGCAGACAGGATGAGAGGTGATAGTTTAATAGAGAAAGTGGCTTATGCAAAAGCACTGGCCAATTATGGGAAGTCTTGATACAGTGAGAGCAAGAGGGGAGGTTGGAGAGGTCCACTTGTGGTGATTCCTCATAAAGAAGAATTTGGGGCCAGGCACGGCAGCTCACACCTGTTATCCTGGGACTTTGGGAGGCTGAGGAAGGATGATTGCTTGAGGCCAGGAGTTGGAGACTAGCCTGCGCAACATATCAAGACTTCATCTCTACGAAAAATAGAAAAATTAGCTGGGCATAGTGGGGTGTGCCTGTAGTCTCAGCTACTTGGGAGGCAGAGGCAGAAGAATTGCTGGAGCCCTGCAGTGAGCTGTGATGATGCTACTGCACTCCAGCCTGAGCAACAGAACAAGACCCAGTCTCCAAAAAAAAGAGAGAGAGAAAGAAAGGAATTTGGGGATAGGGGCAGGGTGAGGGAAAAAAGTATAAATAAAAAAGAAAATTGGATTTGATCAACTGAGGAATTTTAAGCCAGTGAGAGTCATGGAAAGATCTGCATTTGAACAGATCATTTTGACAATTAATGAAAGGATTAGTAAGGGAGGAATAAAGAATGGAGATGGGGATGCCGATTAGGGGGGAAAGCAGATGATGCTTTGGGACACTGGGAATGTTTTACTATGTTTCTGTATGTGAGGAGAGTGTTTTGTGCAAAACAGGATATTTTTCATTTAAAAGTTTTAAGCTAATGTTTAGCATATTATAGTTGCAAATCCACAAAGCATGAAATCTTGGTAAATTCAGCTTAAACTTTATTCTACTAAAAATCTGGTAATTTTGAATAAAATTAAAACTCACTTTCATTTGTTCATCGATTAATGTTTGATTAATTCAAGGTGAAGAAAATAAGTTTTTCTTTACATAATCAGTTCCATTTGCAATTTAAAGTCCTTTGTGTATTCCAACTCCTATAAATTTAATATAATTAATTTTATTTTTAATAATTTCAAATGCCTAATTGTATAAACCTAAAATTATAACAAGGAAAATCTCAAATACTTAAACTAACTTTTGCAAATTGAATAAATGAAGCCTATAATTATAATGAACCACATTCCTACAAACATTCTAATATTTGTAAGGTTAATCAGATTTCTTCTATACTTTTCACCTTACAAGGCTAAATATGTCAGTCGCTTGAACACTTAAAATACAGTACATAAATACATGTAGGTTATTCTTACATATAACATAGTGGCTTGAGTTTTATCTACTTCATTATGTCTATATTTAATTTGAAACTTTTGCTTTTGTCTCAGAAATGTGAGACCTGAAGACTATGTACGTCCTCTGTATTTTCAGAATTTACCCAAGAAACTGATCTGTTCTACACATATTTTATAAAATGACTTTTAAAAATATATATGCCTTAAAATTTAAATAATAAATTCTAGAAATAAGGATTTTAAGAAACATTTATTTTCATTACTAGATTTATCTAATGTAGTGTACTGATGAAAATTAGTTTGGGTCTTTTTAAAATGTCTGTAAATTGATAGTTTAAAATGCTGACTTTGTAAATAAAAAGAATGTGACCAGACAGAAAACTTTAGGAAAAAATTTTAATGTGTCAGTTTTATGGATAAGAGAAAATGTACTTAATGAAGACTTGTGGACTATGTTAGTACTTCAAAATAGGTGAGGGGACCTCTGAGTAGGTGGGATATGTTGAGCTTATTAGCAAGACATCTGTGTCATTTCAGACTACTTATGGTCATAGTTAGAAATGTTCTTTTGCTGCTTTTTATTATAAATCACATGATGCTCTTTGCAAAGAACAAGATATGCTAGAACTACAATATTGTCTTGAATTAGAATTTAAATAACTTGTATGAATGTATGAAATGCTACGATTTGAAAAAGAAACTTTTATATTAATTCCCAACTTTGAATTTTATACACATCCCAGAGAGTTGCTACCTACCTCAAGATATATAAAAAATATCTTAATTTATTTTTGTTTATTTTAATTGTATAAAAAGAAAATATACTATTTCTCACTTGTATGTGTTTTAATAGTAAGTCACCAAATAATTGATGACAGGGTGTGGCTGCTTTAGAAGTGATACATTAATAATACCTTGCCACACAGAAATAAAGCTGTAAGTTAGAAACCAAAAGATTTTTAAATCCAGTGTATTTATTTCCAGGAATGGTCAATCCAACTAAATTCAAAAATCATAAAATATTTTGGGTTTTGTTTTAAAATAGTAATTGTTTGTCTTTGTACCACCAACTCACATAGATTTCTGAACAAACTTTATGGACTTATTATTTGCCTTAAAATTTTAGAATAATTTTTTCTTCTATAGGGTTTTGGACTGACAAGGAGGAACTAAAGAAATTAAGGCAAAGCGAAATAGTTTTCAAGCCACAGAAGAAATGTCAAGAATATGAAATGAGTATGGAAAACTGGGTCAAAGCTGTGAAACGATCCATGAATTGGTATAATAATACATGACACTAAATGAAATGATCGAAACCGTGGATAACTGGTTTATATGATGTGCAGAGGAAACAAAGCTCAGGGATAACGAACATGACGATGACAGATTTAAAAATGAACTTCACAGCCTGAGAGAAAAAGCTTTGCTTTTTAAAAAAACAAACAACTATTACTTTTTTCCCAAACCTTGGTAAGATTGTAAGGAAGGCAGCAATACCTTAAAACTTTATTTCTTCTGTTTTGTAGCAAATTCCAAAGGACATTAGCCATTTTCAACCATATTTTGACAATATGGGCCCTTTTCTTTTTTATACTGGGTCGATGGAACATAGGAATGTAACAGTTTACCATCTGAGCTGATAGTTCTGGGTCAAGCACCATTAACATTGTGTTCCAAAATTATGTGGAAAGTATTTCTTTAATTCTTTAACATTAAGTGGGCTATTTGAAGTCCTAAAGAGAAAGAATAACTGAGAAGATGTGGACTTTTGAAATATTAATATTTTATAGTTAAAGCCATAGTGTTTCAATGTTGTATCCAAATAGGAGCTCGGTATGTCCCTCTCAGATAAGCTTATTTGTTAGTGCTTTCCTTTATTGAGCTTAAAGCCACTGCCTTAATTTTTTCTTGTTCAGCCAAAATCTGAGCCCTCTTTATATGTTGAAAAACACTGAAAAACTAATTTTAGTTAATGAAGTAAAAGGATGTTGATTTTTAAGGAATAGAAAAAGACCATTTATTTTCCTTCTCAAGTAGCATTTGTTTCAAAAACTTCTGGCTAGAGTGTAACATTCTGTTTTTTATAGATTGCAAGCAGTTAACATAAATCTTGCCTTTCTTCTGTTACCTTTCCTAGTTGTTGAGAAGCTTGCATAAATGTCTTTTGTTTTTATTAAGTGCCTAATTGCTAGAGCTTAGTTTGAAGAAAGTGCCCAAATTTACTGGTGACTTAAGAATTGCCTTCATTTGAGTGTTTTAGTTGTCCATGTATCTTCATGGGTTTTTTTTGAGATAGGCTCTCACTCTGCTGCCTGGATAAGAGTGCAGTGACATCACCATAGCTCACTGCAACCTCAAACTCTGGGGCTCAAGTGATCCTCCTGCCTCAGCCTCCTGAGTAGCTGGGACTATAGGTGCACGCCTCCACGCCTGGCTAATTTTTCTATTTTTTGTAGAGATGTGGGTATCACTCTTGCTCAGGCTGGTCCTAAATTACTGGCCTCAAGTGATCCTCCTGCCTTAGCCTCCCAGAGTACTAGGAATACAGGCGTGAGCCATTGTGCCTGTGTCTGGCCCATGTATCTTTTTGATGCTTGTCTAGGCTCTGCATCTCTCTGAGATAATGTGCAGTGCATAGCTGTTAGAAGTGATGAGAGTGTGTCCATGCTAAGGATTGCCCTAAGGCCACTGAGCCAGAGATCCACGGAGAGGAGCAGGGACAGTCCCACATTCTCAAACTTTCTTCCTAGAAACAATTTAGAGGAGTAAGGGTTGTGAGCAGCTTCAGGCCAGGGATAGAATTATCCTAAGGCAGTTCCCATGTTATTTGCTCCTCCCTACATTTGGGGTAAGTTCCATTTGGATTTGCAGCAGTAATGAATTTATTTCCCTCTTGGTCAGGATTTATCACATAAAGTCCTTCTGTTATAAAACTAGCTGTCACATAATAATGTAACTAAAGGAAAGACTGTTGCAGAGAATTTTGTTATTGCTGTCATATATGTTCATTTTGGACACCAATAAGATAGAACTTGACAGTTAAATTGCACTTTCTGCAAATTCCATTTCAGTGAACTTCAAGAGTTTTCTTAAATTATTAAAAGTTTTTTGATAAAGACATAGTAGAAAATATATAGTATCATTAACCCCACTAATTAGGATTTAGAAATATTTTTGTTGACTAAAAGTGTCTTTATTTACTGTAATAAGCCAAATATATATAGATAATATTCTTTTCATTCTTTCTCTCTTTTACATCCTTTTTACAAAGCTTAGTGGCCAATTATAGGCTTTCCTGTCAAAATCATATGAATGCCACTTTGTTGTTTTACTATTATAGATTCTGCTTCTCAGTAGGTCTGGTTTCATATGAAATAATTCTATCTTTTTGTGTTGGGCTATACTGAATTACAATATTAATATCTAAAAGTAGGCCGGGCGTGGTGGCTCACGCTTGTAACCTAGCACTTTGGGAGGCTGAGGCGGGTGGATTGCTAAAGGACAAGATTTCAAAACCAGCCTGAGCAAGAGCGAGACCCTTGTCTCTACTAAAAATAGAAACACATTAATTGGCCAACTAAAAATATATAGAAAAAATTAGCCATGTGCCTGTAGTCCCAGCTACTCAGGAGGCTGAGGCAGTAGGATTGCTTGAGTCCAGGAATTTGAGGTTGCTGTGAGCTAGGCTGATGCCACGGCACTCTAGCCCAGGCAACAGAGTGAGACTCTTATCTCAAAAAAGAAAAAAAAATACCTAAAAGTTTGTTCATTTCTTTTCCACATTCTTCTTTCTCAACATATAACCACAAAAACAAAGGATAAAAATATCTTTTAGATTATGAGGGAAGTTAACTTTGAATATCTCTCATTGGATTTGTGCATCTCTTCAAGAATCAGCTGCTTTTTCCTTTTGTGAATCTAAAATCTAATCTTTATTTTTAATATTTCTGGATATTTTTAGTGACACAGGTTAGTAAATCTTTTTTCAGATTTAACCAAAATCAGAAACATGACCACATTTGCTTTCGTGGTTGTAGAAACAGTTGATAGTCAAAATCAATTGAGCAAAAACAATGTCCTTTCTATCTTTCAAGTTTATTTTTCATTTGTATGTTAACATTTAGAGTTTGAAAAAATTTGTGCTACTATTTCTCAGCATGTTTTATTATTCCATATGGATCTATCAGATATTTTTAGGATGTCTCCAGCTATCTCATCAAGGAGGAAAATGTTTCTGTACATTCCATCTTAAAGTGGTACAAACTGCTTTTATATCGTAGACTTACTGATTTTTAAATCTTTTATATCCAACCATGACATGGTTTCACAACCTCAGCATTGATATTTTAGACTGGATAATTCTTTGTTTTGGGGTGCTATGCTGTGGATGTTTAGCAAATGTTTAGCAAATCCCTGACCTTTGCCCTCTAGCTACCAGTAATATCTTCCTAGTTGTTAAGGCCAAAAATGTCTCCAAACATTGTCACCCTGGGAGGCAACATTGCCCTCAATTAAGAATCACTGATAGAGGCTGTTAGGAGAAAATCAAAGATTCAGTGTCATATTCCTTTGCCTCTGCCTCATTTTACCTTAGGAAATGGTTGTTATCAAAAACAGGTAGTAGTATCTTAAAATAAATAAAGCGTCTATAATACTTTGCTGGTTAATGAGGGAAAAAAATCTCATGTAATTGTCTTCTGATGTTTTTATCCATTCAGCTCCACCTCTGTAATTTCTGTGGTCTTAATTACTGTAGTAGGTCTAAGACTTCAGTATAGGATTAATGTATTCTACAGATCATCTTTGATTTGATTTGCTTCTTTGGTTCTTCTTCATCTCTGAGCAAAGGAGATGATCACTCACTTTTATCTGCTTTCTGTGCAAAACTTTACCAGACTGGAAGCTCCCTGAAAGCAGAAATCATATCTGTTTCCCTAGAACTTAAGATTTTGCTTTTCTATTTTTGGGATAAATTTTTACTTCATGTTTGTAAGTGTAGTATTTGCATACACATTTTTGTCCTTGATGTTAGTTACTACATTTATTGATAAGGAGCAGTTTATATTTGTTGCAAGTAAAATATGTTTCCGTTCAATTATGAATAACCACTTTTGTTATCAGAGCTAGAATCCTCACATTGTTTATTTAAAATTCTTCATATGTTTATATATTTGCAAATGTATTTGTGTAAAGATATGCATCCCCAAATGTACCTAGTTACATTGGGAGGTATAATTGAAGCCTTTTTATTTACAGATTTTATATATTTGACTGCAGATGACAAAAAGATCGAATCTTAAAAGTGCCAAACACTCTGGGTGCTGTAAGGTAGGAACTTCATAAATAGTTCCTTCTGGACTTTTACTGGGGACCAGTCGTTACTTTAAAATAGTTCATCAAATCACAACTTGGTAAGAGAAAAAAATAATAACAAAAAATAAAATAATCCCACCCAGGAGTCTGGCAAGAATTTTGTTATTTTTTGAGGAGAGATGTAGTACTACCCTGGACTTCTTTGACTTTAATTGGTTCTAGAGTCATCCCAGAGATAGCCTAGAAGGCTTGAATCCATCCTAAAGGATTCTGAATCCCTTTGGGAAATTTAGATCATGTTTTTTCAATAAGAGTTAAAGGCCCCAAACACACCTTGGACATTTATGACCTACCTGGTCCCAGAATCATCTCACATACCCAAAGCCTGGTCATCTGGTTAAAACCAGTCACAGTGGTTAACCTCAAAAAGGTAAATAAGTGATTCAAAATCATGTTGGTTTTTAAAATTTTGGAGCCCTATAGCCATAAATATTTTGTCACCAGCATCTATTCTAAATCACTCCCCGTGTTGTCACCATATTCTCATGGGATCTTTGTTCTAAAGGAACAAGGAATGATCTCGGGAGTAGGAAGGATAGAGATAGGAGCCTGAAAAATCAGATATTTCTGAACTTCTCTGTTACTCTGTATCTATAGTCTCTCTCCCCTTTATTGTAAATTGGGTCTGTTATAAAATGACTATGTCTAGACATATATCTGTATTACTTAGGAAAAAAAGATACCAATTTATCTTTATAAGAAATTGCCAAGCTGTTTTCCAGAGCTGTACCATTTTACATTCCCACCAGCAAAGTGTGAGTAATCCTTTTTCTCTATGTGGTCACCAGCATTTGGTGTTGTCACTATTTTTTTATTTTAGCCAGTCTGATGGATGTGTAGTGATATCTCACTGTGGTTTTAATCTGCATTTCTCTAGTTAATAATGATGTTCAACATTTTTACGGGCTTCTTTTTTTTGCCATTTGTTTATTCTCTTCAATGAAATTCTGTTCATATCTTTTGCCCATTTACTAATTGGTTGTTGGCTAATGAGCCATGTCATTAAATATATTTTTTAAAGTTTTTTTTAAAAATTAGTCCAATGACTTAAGAAGTCATTAAGTAGGATTTTTCAAATCCTTCTAAGCAAAATGTTTATAGCATTTTGAACATGATTTTACAATGTACTGAGCACAAAAGTTCTTATATTCCTTCTGTGCTTATTACAGAGTATGGTACTAATACTGTGTAATATCAAAAAAGTTTCAAAGACACCTTTACTTAGAATGTTAAGTAGAGTGTACAGACAAATACTTTGTACATAGCTATCATAATGTTTCTAACCTTTTTTATTTAAAATAAGCTGATTTGTTTAAAGTTTTTAGGATGATATTTTGGTGGAAAATTAATTAGAAATTTTTCTGTTTGTGCAAGATGGCAAATATAGATTCCAATTCATATGGATCAGTAAATTCATAATCTTATTTCTCTGATGTCCTTTATGAACTCCACAGTTTTTATTAGTCATTGAGGGCCTCATAAACCATCATTAAGATCTATGGATAAAATCAAGGACACATAGTAATAGAAATATTTTTCATATGTATGTGAATTTTTTCATTACCTTTTTATCTACATTAACTTTTAGGTTTGTTTTCAATTTTACCTGGATATTCTTATTTAATACTATTTCTTTGTTTTGTTTTCTGCTTGTGACATTAAGAAAGTCACAAGAAACCAGGTACTGTGATGCCCACCTGAAGTCCCAGCTACTGGGGACACCAAGGCAGGAGGATCTCTTGAGACCAGTAGTTCCAGGCCAGCCTGGGCAACATAATTGAGACCCTGTCTCAAAAAAATCACAGAATGCCAAAATTAAAAAAAAAAAAATCACAGAGAAATAGCATATATTAACTACGAT